TTATCATCAAATATTTAAATACCAATTTGTATACATTATAAAATGTTCAAATATCTTAATTTTTACAAGCTATTTATAAGCATGTGATATTTATGAATTGTCTTCAGTAATTGTAAATAAAAAAATTTTTGCTAGGTCAAAATACTTGATAATTTAATATAATAGATTCTTGATATACTGTTCTATATACATATAAATTTTTTATAAACATTTAAACTTTAGATTTGGTCAAAATTAAACAAAGTTTAACAACGATATATATCTACCATTTCACACTATTTTACTGTGAGGGGTTGTATTGTCTCAAAAGTTAATAATAATAATATAATGTAATATAAATACATATTGTTATGACAATTTAATATTAATAATGTTTTCTGAAAAACACTAGTTTTACTAAAGCTTATACTAGTACAACTTGCTATATTATATCAAAATAAAATTATTTTAATAGCTGTAATATCAAAAACTTACCATGAACTGTACTATATATTTAGTCTCCGTTTGGAAATATTTTTCGTATATGTACGAAATATGTAGGTATATTATTATTATTAATAAATATTATTGAATTCAAAATTAACACATTAATTTAAGTTACCCACTCAACACCTACTGTTCAGTAAAGTGATACCCACTTGCCCACCTTTTTATTATTGAATATAGTTACCTACTATTTTATTAAATAACTATTTTGATTCTTTAAATTTTAAATTTGTTTCTGTTATTTACAATCCTTATTAAATACAAATAATTACATTCCGTCACGCTTTTAAACATCAATAACAATTATACATTTATAATGAGTGCCTACATAGACAATATCAAGATAACGATAATTTTATTGTACACAGTTACACCGATTTCCTTAAGCATACTCATAAATTATAATATTTGAGCATGATAAAATGTCATGCCATTGCGCATATATTGAGTGACATATCACATATTTTTCGAGTAATATTCATTTTGTTGAATACATTATTCGTGGAGGGTATATGGGGCTTATTTTTTTAATTATCGTATATTCATAATCGTGTCGTGTTTAATATTAACTGTTCATTATTGATGTACCTACCAATTATTTTGCATAAAATAAAACCATCTCAATAAGATATTTAGTATTTAGAATTTATTATTTTAATTTTCGTTTAATTTTTTTTTATTTTTTTATTTTTGAACAATGAGTACCTAATTATATTAAATTTTTTAAATAAAATAAAATCATTTTCGATTAAAATAAATTATTTTAGAATTTATAGTCAGAATTTTAATATTATTTAATTTTTCAACTTTGATGATAATTTACGGTAGAAAATTGAATCTAGTGTTTACTTTAGTTCAAAAATTAAAAATTCCCAATATTTTTTAAAATAATCGGGAAAAACAAATCTAAAATAAATAAGATAAAACGGTTTCGACTTTATTTTTTTATTATGGTGGGTGTACCTAACACAAAAACGAATATCAACAGATAATTTTCAAGAATTTTTACAAAATGTTTAAATTAGCATTTTTAAAGCAAAAATAATATTATTATTCCAAATATTTTTACCATCTTTGAGCTTCTAATTTACATTTTCAATATACAATTTTTTTTCGATAAAAAAATTGTTTTTTAAGTTAAAAATATTAAAAATAACCTAATATATTCCTCATTAAAATGTATTAATTAAAAATATTTAGTCACGAGATTTGTTTATAAGCGTTTAAAGTTAGTGTTTTGATGAAATTCGATAAAATCATGAATGTTGAAAATAGTAAAAATAGTAAGTAACTTTGTATTTGAGTCATATCATGTTTGTGATATTTAAAAAAAATAAATATGGAAGTAATCACATCTTTACAAATTTATATTAAAAAACAATTTATCTAAAAAAATATCAACCAATAATTAATACATTTATTTTACTATTATTACTTAATAAATGTTATCTTTTATACTATTTTAGTCGGTTACTTATGGAAATACTAAATGAATGATTAAAAATATATAAACTAGTTCCAAACATACAAATCATTATTTTACGATTTTGTCGCATTCCAATAGGGAGTACTTTATGTAGATACGTTCTACACTTCTACATTATGATATTAAAATAGCCTTGAGTTTATAGTAACGTTGCAAATTATATTTTTACAACATCAATATGTTTGGGGATATCCGGATACATGATCACATTCAAGAATTATTAGCTTTCTGTTATATTGTCATATATTAATAATAAATAGACTTATTAAACTCTAGTTTTTTACCATTTTAGTAATTAATAGTAACCCTTAAAAGGGTTGGTAGTTAAGTTAATGTTATGAATTAGCATTATAACAATGAAGTAACAAGTATTTACGATCATTTGTCACGCAATATTATTTCGAACACTAGATGAAAACACATGCATATTATAATTTGAACATGTAGTTACCTATCTATATTGACTAGATAATTGCATATTGGTACAAATTAATATGCTGTGTATAAATGTACTATATTTACGGGTTGAATGTCTAATTAATCAAACTTTTGTCTATTCGTTAATGTAAATAAATGAACAGGTCTTCATGAAAAGTTAAAAATGTAACTTGTTAGGTGGACAGTGGTTATCCTGGAAAACGGCTTGTGCATTTAAATCACGTTTATTTTTATTGATATAATCGTGTAAATTAAAATGTAAATTTATTTAATTATTAAAACTATAAATTATAAAAAGTTTTTACGATATACTTAACAGTAAATTGCAACTTCCTACGTAATTCAATAACCATTAATAATATAATAATTTTTATAAAATAAATCAATATTTCAATAAAGATATGTTCTTAAAACAAAATCAACTTAATTAAGCCTCAATGCATATGAATGCCCCAAGTGGTGTTTTACTGTTATCTAAAAAAATTTTATCTAGCCATAATTAATTAATTAGTCTTGAGCTACATATTATATACACGCCCAAACAAAACATTGAATATTTTATTTTATTTTTTTTTTTTTTATACTAACATCATCTAAAATAAACGCACTAAAAAGTAACCTACTCAAATAATAATGAGCTGTTCAAATAATTTCAAATATTTATTACTTGTAATAATAATTTGAATATGTTTGAAGTTACAAAAAAAATAATGTTTTATGCTGAACGGTGCCAGATGGTATAAAATGTAGGTTTAGATAGGTATACCTCTTTAATAGTTTATAATACTCATGTAGTGTTAGATATTCATATTCATTATAAATATTAAAGTTGTTTTGAAATCGAAATGTTTCACAGTAAATGTACTAGTTAATATAATTCATATCAACTATATAATATGAATTAAAAGTATAAATAAGCTAATAATCAAAAGATAATTATGATTATTATACTTCTAAATAGGTAACTCGTATTAATATTATATTATTTATGAATAAACTAATTTCAATGACCTCGTGGGTATTACAGTAAGTATTATCCTAATAGTTAATATTTTTTTTTTTGCTTTGAAATATACAATTTATACAATATTTCTACATTAAACATAATATTATTATGTTATTATAAAGGTTTTAGCATGATTTAGAACAAGGAGCCGCCCCACCGGTACAACTTATAGGAATGTATATATTATTTTTTAATTTTAGTGAATGTAGTTGATTTAATTTAATGGCTTAAAATTAAAAATGAGTATGTGTGTATTATGGAAGTTAGTAATTTCCAACACCGCAGGTAGCAAAAAATTAGAGTTTATAATTTGCACTAAAATGAATATATTTATGTACTCGATTATGATTATTTCATCGATACCCTCATTTATTTTGAGACTCGATAATCAACTTAAATGACAATGGTTATTTTTCAAAATTTTTAACTATACATCTCCTTGTTTTGATAATCATATCAAAGTTTGATATCTGAATGTCCGATCTACCGCAGTCGTGATATTACACAATATTGCATTTATTAATATTTGACAAAAGTAACACAAATTTAATTATATTATTACCTATATATTTATTTAGTTGCTTTAGTGAAACAATAACCGCTCAGGAGCTAAAATAGAATATTCTGTGTTACTCAAATCTTGAAACGTGTTTATACTATCTAAAGAATAATCGATTTAAAATTTGGTGTACATTTTATTACAAATTTTACAATTTTATTTAAAATAAGATAATTTTTTTGCATATTAAACATGTATTTATTTTGGACAAATTTCGGTACAAATAGACGATAGTCTGTGGTATAAATTTTTTTTTTCTGAAACACGTGATAACTTTGATTAATAGTGCAAATGTGAAATTTAAGGTATAATGATATGATCATTGAATTAATATAAAACTTTTTAAGACTAAACTAAAATCTAGATACGTTTAGACATGTGAATATTCTGTGGATGTGTTGTTATTAGCAGAATGTATGATTACTAGTGATAGTTTTTTGTATGATAGTTAGTTAGGGGAACCGTCAGTGGAATGGTTAAATGCAGTGGTGGATTTACATTTGTGAGGGGTTCTCTATAAGTTGACAAATTTTTTTTTAAAATTTATTAATGGTTAAAAATAATTATCTAGAATATTTTTGTATATAGTATAATTTGTATAAATTTTATATGAAGTTAAAAATACTGAAGTATGGAATTAACACTAACGTATAACGTGGGTAGCACAGATCAACATCGGAAAATTTTCATTTGTCGCCTGAAAATTGAACCCTTCGGGCTTTCGATAGCTGTTCCAGAACCAATACTAATCAAGCCCATAATTAACACAAAACTAAAACCGTTTAAACTTGCTGTATGAACTTGAGGCAGCCGGACTTGTCGCGGTTACTGCCGCAGAACTGAAACATGTGGCTGCTTTTGAAGAGGTTTAATAGGAGTAAATCATATTTTAATAAGTCCTATTTATTTAAATACTAATCAAAAGATGTGACTTACTAATGGTTCTACTACGGTAAAATGTTGGTAGTTATTGAGCTTAATTGAGGTTCTTGCCCACGAGAAACAATTTGACGAACAATGATTCCTTATACTTTCTTTTTGTGTGGCAACTTAACTGGTGGTAAGACTTCAACAATCGGAATAGGAGTTGGAACGACTTTTGCTTTAACAGGTTTTTTCGGGCGTAATGAATTGATTGCCCCTGGTGTGACGAATTCTACGTTGAAACTTGAAGTTGAGCTCACGCCATCCATTTCTTTCGTATGATCAGCTAACTTGAACACAACCGGTTCTTCTGTCTTGTCCAATCGTCCTTCTTTCGTATAATAATTCATAGTGATTGTGTATATGCCTCGGTTTTTATTCAATTTGAATGCAGGAACTGCCTCAACTTTCTTAATTTTCGGGATTTTTGCTACTTTTTTAGATTTAGGTTTAGTGTTCGTGTTGTAACTGGGAAAACGCAACGCTGCTCTTTCCTGTCTGGCTTTTTTTATTGTCGCTTTTTCATTCTCCATTTCTTTCATCCGACTCAGTTCTTCCTGCTCGATTCGTAATGTTTTTATGTCAATTGTTTTTTTCCTTTCCTGCTATGACAATAAAATTATTTGTTTAAATTTACAATGTACATCAAGTTTCCATGTGTACGCAATATACATATTATTAACTATACGTATATTATTATTTATTATTATACAAAGGTCACTAAAATGATACGTAGAACATTTGCTAATCTGAGTTTGGTTTTAATTATTTTATGATTATTATTCAATTAACTAATTGTATTTTGACGTTCGTCAAAAAAATATTTTTACGTGGCTATTTTGAATAGCGCGGTGTATGAAGGTGAATTGTGATTTATACTTTTTTTTTTTTTATTAGAGAATATACAATCTATACCCAAAAGTATAATAAGAATATGTGCTACATTATATTAAAAAAACATGAATAGGTTGAGGGAGAAACCATCCAGTGATCGCACTTCCTTTTGCTTAAATATATATATAACTATACATTTTTTTTTAATTATTATTATCAATTTTTTTTTTTTTTTTGTTATTCATTAAGAAGATCTTTGCACTAGTTTATTTTTAAACGCCGTGGAGGGTTTCCAGAAATTATGTGAGTGGCTAGACCGGATATCAGAGGATTTGAGTGACCAGACAGTTTGTTGAAAAACGTTTGTAATACGTTTTAACTTTTTCGTGTATAGTTTTCATTTTGAAGTCTGAGTGGAGAGTAAAATTAGAGATATAAGGGGGGTATTGATGATGGGGCGTAGGATTTTATTTTGAACAGTTTGTAGTTTATTGAAATTGGATTTTTTGGCATTATCTCATAGCTAACTATGTAGACCATATGTCCACATAAGTCATAGGCTTAATTAAGGATTTGTAATTAAGTAATTTGATATTTAATTTATTATGGTTGTTAGTTAATAATGTTTTAAGCAACCGGATACGTGCATTTAAGGCGAGTTTTTTCCCCTTACATGTTGCGCCCAGCCGCCCAGGTACAGGTATAGATATGTCAGTTACGGAAACATGTGATTTATACTTAATTATTAATTTTCTGGAGACATGTCGTATAGAAAAAATTTTCTCATAATTTATGATTTTACACACATTTCAAAAAAAAAGTTTGCTATCCATAGTAGTTAATAGAAGTTATATACATTATTTACTTTTAGATTAATGTATTTATATTTTTATTTTATTTTTATTGCAACAAGACTAACTTTCAAATCACTTTAAATTGTACACTGAAAACTGATTTCTGGTATGTAATTGATTAATAACACCATCTTTGGAAGTCGACTTATAAAAGTGACATATATAGTATAACATTAATTGTTGTATATGGCCTATATATAAGGTTGTATATTTTATTAAAACTATATCAACTATAACGACTAAACTAATATTGTACATTACCTAGTTACATAGTATACCATTATTAGGTGTATTATAATATGACTACCTATTGTATAATTTCAAGATTATCACTACCAACACAAATACCACTTTATAAATATCAAAATTTACTAAATAGGTACAATTAAACTGTATCAAAATTCACCATTGATTTTAGTATAGGTTCAACATTTACCGGTAATACAAATTAAAGGTTTTAAAACGACAAATTTAAAAGAACAAACAGCAGATCAGATATTTTATAAAATTATATAATTAAGAGTTTGAAAAAACATGAGTTATCGGATAAAATAATTGTACTTTTTAGTAATATTTGTAATACCTACTAATTTTTGAGGTGTTTTGATAAAAGAAATAAAAATGTTTTATCGGTTTTGAATATCGAATTAAAAACGAATATTTCTGGAATAAATTGCGTTACTCATATTTAGCATAATGCGATGCACTCAGTCGCCAACGCGTTGCTTATTGGCGCCGAACTCATAATATGTCATATGAAGCGATCGCTTCACTTCTTAAATAGATGGGTGGATCGTGGGTTTATAACCTATGTGTAATAGTGTAGAAAATAAAATAAAATAATCTTGATAAAAAAAAAAAAAGTTAAGTATTTTTATATCATAATATTAGGTGGCTGAAAAATGTAGGTAGACGGATAATACAAACATTTTTGATTTTGCTTCACAAAAAAACTCTGAGTTCGGTGCCACTGCCTGTTGATATAGAAATCATAGTGAACAAAATTTTTCAATTTGTTCATAGGTATATAAATATATATATATAGTTCAGGTTGAAAATTCTAAAGAATTTTGATATTATACAAATGTTAATTATAAAAATATTCTCGGGAATGTAAAAACTTGCTGGATCTCATTGTTATTAAACATCACAAAAATTATTGATATTTATACTCGGATTTTAAATCGCACTTTGGAAAACAAGTATTTCACAATTTTAAATCTTTTTTAATGACTCTATGTCCAAAGTATAGTTATATTTTTCTTAAAGCTAATTAAAAGTTATACTGTAACAAAAATAGGAATATAACAGAAATATAAGGAAAAACTCGTTCAAAAAAAGTGCTAACCTATTTTATAATACATTTTTAACATCCTTTTTTTTATTATTGTATATTATATATTATTTTTTGTATTTAAAATCCATTTATTTTGTTTTTATATTATATTTAGTTATGTCAAATTATATATAGGTATATATATTAATACGTAATACGTTCATAATTGTAGTTAATAAATTAAATCAACAGTATTTAAATAAAATTGATTTCGTGTACATATCTAGATTCAGATAAAACAAATCATGCATTATATTTGTTTTGTTTTTTAAAGTGTACCGTAAACTTAATTATTTTTATGGGCACCCTACATTAGGTATATTATTTTCAAATTTTGTTCTTACTTGAACATGTTTTTATATGTTTACTAAAAAACAATTATTGTATTCATTATTTTCAAAAAAATTATGCGAGTATGTGAACTACATTTTTTTTTATTTTTGGGCAGTTATTTATTAATGAGAACCCAGATTTGTGTACATAATGATAGAACCAAAAAATTAATAAGTATATGGACCCCTTTATCTAATTAAATTCTTTAAATATATGATAATCAATTAAAATTAACAACTTACGGCTTCCAGAAATTTATCATCCACCCAACCTTTATTATGTGGAATTGGCATCCAAAAATTGACGCAATTTTTATGACCGTATTTTATACCACCTCGATAATTCTCACCAAACGTGTATACATACTTCATGTTCATTATCCTATTTTCTTCTTTTTTATTACTTAAGCCTGCTGATAATTGGTTTTCAGCGCAACTTCTAGTTTTTTTCTTAGGTGATTTTGATTTATTTTTAATATTTTGTTTTTGATTTTCATTTTGAATATTTTCTTGGTCAGGTTTGTTAGATCCAATAGTTGTATTAGCGACTTTTGTGTCATTTGATTCTGTGATATTTTTTTGTATTACGTTATTTTGTTTACTTTCAGGCTTAGTTGGTTTTTTGTTAGTCGATTTTCCTTGAGGCTCATTGACTATTATTAATTCTTTATCTTTTTCGGCCGTTTTTTCTTCTTTATATGGGCTAATGTCATTAAAATCTACTAATTGTGTATACATGTATTCTTCGTCCAATTGAAAATCATCTAAATTATCAACTTGGTAGTCATTGAGGTCAATGGGTAAACTATGAAAAATATCTTCAGGAAACATAAAATTTAATGTATCAGATCCCTTGAGTATTTCTTCATCAGTTAGTTCAAAAGTTTTTTTAAGTTGCTGCCATGTAGTAGTACAATCGCAATTGCATTGTTTATTATTAAATATTGGTTCTTCAAAATTTAAATTTTTAGAGTAATCATTGAAATGCATATCAACCATAACTTTACTTGTATCATTAGTGTTCATATTGTCCAAACCCCATATTGTTAAATCGTCACCAACATTCTTTTTATCGTCACAAAATTCATAAACAGAATTACTGAGAAATATTGGTTTTAAGTCAATATCGTTATTGTTTTCTAAGCAATTTGGCTTGGTTGAATTATTGTTCATTTTATAATAATATTACAAATATTTAAATAATTTACTTGAAAACTATTTCCACTATCAATTTAAAAAGTTAGCATTTTTCTTTTTTTTTTTTTGGAAAAAAAAACATAATAAATAACACTATTACAATTATTTCCATAGCGATCATCTAATTGTCGGTTGGAAACCAGAATGTTCCAAATACATTATCAAAAATGATCTTAAGAACGATTTTTCATAACATATAAATACAATATTCTACATAGGTTATACTCAGTTTTAAAATGTATGCCTTCTTTTTAATCATACTAAAAACAAATAAAAAAACTAAGCATAGATAGGTATAAATTGTAAAACATTTTTATAAAATATGATAAAATGTTAAATTTTAAAAATATTTATTAATTTTTATTTAAAAAAAAAAAAAAAAAAAAGAAGTATTTAAAAATGTTATGTTCTATTATGACAAATAATAAATATGAGTGAGAAAGTTAGAAATAAGATACAGTTTATGCTGTAGTTACTCTTCCTTAAGTACCAACTAGTTTCAGTTTGTTACCAGAAGGTTAAAAATGATGATTGAAATATTTTTACTTTTCCAAAATATAATAATCAGACATTCAGACACAACACTTCACTGTAAGTCTAATAAATTTATTATTCCACTCATAAATAAGTTAAACCTAAAAGAAAAATAATCAATAATTTAAAACAAATAATCAACTGAAATTTATAAAAACATTTTAAATATTTTTATTGTAATAAAAATTATTTTATGAATAGTTGTAATAAGTTTCTAGTTTATACAAGTATTATTTTCTTTAAATACAACAAAAGATCTAAAATCTGCTAATTATTAAAAATAATAAATAAAAAATGCTATTATAAATATCTAAGAAATATATTGAATTTCTTCCAAAAACTTAGCAATAAGTGGAGTTGCATAAATATTCAGGTTTTTCTTATTTTTTTTTGTCAGCTTTTCTCAATTTTAAGAAAAGTACTGATTATTTTTTATACTTAACTTTCCCCTCCCTAAAAAAATACCAAATTTGCTATCAGATACCACCCGCAAAGTTTAAAATTAGAGCAAATTTTCTGGTCCTACTTAGGATTTGAAGTGATGACTTGTCGTCACTTGATGAAACTTAACAAAACAAGAAAACACATTATTGTAAAACTTATTGTTATCTATTAATTATCAATATTTTCAACTTAACAATAGTATGTTAGTATATTTAGAGACAAAAGATTTTTTTATTTCTTAGAAGCAAAAATAATAATTACACAACAGTAATACTACAGTATTGCTCATGTAAATGCATTGTTTAAAAAAAAAAAACTAACTCATTAAACACATTTCTATATGAAATTAATTTTTTCCTAACAAGCTTCAATCATAACCTTATCCCACAACTATTATGATTTTAAATGATAAAATGCTTACAAACAAGCTTTATCTTAATTGAATCGAACATTAATTAATCTAACACATTAAATAATAATAAAACACAAACATAATTAAAATTTACTCTCACATCTAATCCACTATTAATTCATAGCAAACATAATATAATTTGTATATATCTTAACAATCAATAGGTATGTTATAAAGATTATTATATAAATAATAAATATATATATCAATGTTCCATTAAGTTAGGTATTAAAACAAAATAGTACAATAGGTATAATACAAAATATCAAGTATACAACTTATATTCTTATGGTGCTGGGATTGCCTACAATAATTGTGCAAAATAATATTCACTTAATAGTAATCTATACATAGTAAGGTCTAAAAACTAAATCTTACATAAAAGTTAATTTAAACAACAAAAATTGAATTATTATTAAATATCTACAATAACAAAATTTGTTTAATAAATACATTGAGAATAGGAAGCAAATTTTCAATCTGAATTATTATTATTGTTATTATTTATATCAGATCACAATAAGTACATGTAACACAAATAGTAATTAAATTAAAAGATAGAACAAGTATGTATTATTTTATATTATTCAAAATAAAAATAATATTAATATTACATTTTTATTCGCATATTTATGATTTTAAAATTAGATATAAAAGCATTTCTCAATTTTTTTCCAATAATTTACAAACATATATTATTAGTACAATTAATAGTGATGGGCAACAATAAAATTTCAAATATTGATATCATTCAAAATTTACCGATATCATATCATAGTATTATAATCCCTTTTTCGTTTTCACTTAAATTTACATTACACTAAGGAATTTAACTCAATTATTTGATAAATGCTATATTTTAATATCTAGATATTATTGGTACACCAACATCATATATATTTGTATTACAATACAATTTAATTTATTATAGCTTATAATAAGCTTAGATGTTTTATAACATGCAAATAAAATGTAATTCTTGAAAAATATTATAATAATAACATTTTTTCGGTATCATGATGTATTGGGAAATTATTAACTGATATCAATATTGATATCATTGCCCATCACTATTAATTAATGAACACAATTAAATAGCTAAATCTATGCAAATTCTTAGTATTATTTAATGCTGAATTTTAATGATTTTATTAAAAAAAATTATTTCGAGTGACATTTAGATTATCCAAAATATATATGTTACAAAACATATAGCTCAACTCTGTCTAGAATATAAAACAAAAAAAAAACAATGATCAGATAATAATACAATAGAAAAAAAAAAGGCTCAGTTAAATATCAAATCCAAAATAAATATTTAAGATTAATAGCACTGGTTCATTGTGTGAAATTATATAAAATAATTCAAAACACTATCTGACCACTAAAAAAAAAAACCTACCGATTTAGGTGGTGTATTTAAATTTTGTAAAATGTTTGGTTTAACTCTTTATTATGTTGTCTAGTTAAAAAGTTTATTCTAAGCAATTTCATACTGATAAATTAATACATACCTAGAGAAATGGTCTAATACATCTAATATAAAAATATATTGTCATTTAACACTAAAAATTAATTTCAGAAATAGTATTTTATTAAGACTTCAGTCAACCTAACCAATTATTAATCTAATTATTATACATTATAAAATAAGTACTTGTACTTCCTAAGGCTTGATTTTAAAAATGTAATGATTGGTGCCTCGATAAATATAAAACAGTCTTATACATCATTTTAAATTATTTCATTAAAAAAAAAAAAAAAAAACTGAATATTATCTATAATACTATTATAAATATATTTTAAAATATATTATTTGCCAGGCATACATCTAACTTCATGTTCATACATTTACTTATAACAACATTTCTTAAACTATGTTCAGTGAGAAAACCCCGAGGTTCCACAAAGCATAAGTAATTTTTTTCAAAATTTTCAAGAAAATTACTTTAAAATATCTAATTAAAGATTAGTAGCAGCTAGTGGGGAAAAAAAAATGTTTGTACAACTTTCATCAATAAAACCCAATAATTAAGAATAATTGTAATAATAAAAAAACAATATCACTTATCTCATTAAAAAAATTTAAGTATTATTATAAACAATTATTATTATTATTTTTATTTTAACATATTTAATGCATCAAGTATCTTTAATACGTTGTTATTAAATGTAATAATTACAATTTTTATTGAAAATAATCCTAAAAAAACTAAAAAGCTAAAAATAAAAGTAAGGGTTCCACGATAAAAGATATCAAAGAGTTTCACGGATAAAAAAGTTTAAGAAACGCTGACTAAGAATATATTATTGTACATAATAAAATCAATAATGGCATGTACATGAAAATGTGTAGGCATATCTCGTAGCTTGTGGATAATTATTTAGTAGTATACACGGACATAATTCATATGGAAGAATAACTCAAAATTTACTAGAGTAAAGTATACATAATTTGGCAAAAAATAAATTAATAGTTCAGACAACGAATTTTAATTGAAGGAAATATCAGCATACTATTAGTTTTGTTGCTCTTGACCAACTTATATCATTAATATATTTTAATTTAGCAGAACCAAATTTATGTTATTAACTTTTATAATAGAGTAAATTAATCAAACTTTATACATAATATTATAAAACTTTAAGGTAAGAACATGACCTGTATTAGTACCTTGGCTTTTTATAATATTTCAAGTTTTGGCAAAATAATTTAAATAAATGATGGCATATGAAAGCAATACTTAAAAAAATTATGCTGAAATATTTTTAACTTAGTTGTTAAAACTAACAGAGAGACTTCATTCTCTAAAAATGGAAAATGTATTAGACATGTTAGGTTTTCATGCATAATTCAGCCATGCAATATATACAAATTCGTCTAGACAATGTATTAAACACATTAAGTAGGTATCCATATTAATCTCACCTAAATTATATGAATTAATTCGTCCAAACGATATGTGATATAAAGAATTTAACCTAAACATTCCAATAATGATTTACTATTTGTCCAAGTATAAGCCGTTCTCGTATAAATCCAAAATAAAGAATGTATTTGACCTCTTAAAAATTATACATTCACAAGTTTCAATAAAAAATTGTTGCGAAAAAATAAATAATATTTTTATCAAATTTGAATTTGTCTAGGGGGACGTTTTCCAAAAATTCCTATCAGTCAATAAAAAAATGTGAACTTAATTCATGTCTATTTTTTAGTACTCTTATAATACTACGCAAAATATAACATAATGCATTTATATCTAATTCAAATAAGCGCCAATCACTGTAAATCAATATCAAACTCATGATGAAATTTCCCAACATTCTCCAGATTAAACTACTGAAAATCTATCCATTAATTTTAATATGATTCTAAGAACTAAGTCTTTAATGCATGTGATGCTTTTATCCATAAAAAAATTATCATTATTCATTAATTGCATGCACTCTGAATTATGAATGTATTCATAATTTTATTTAGTAATGCAGCTTTGATTACGAAGACGTCTTGACACACGTGCAGATGATGCCACAGTAGCTGATGCATAAGATGGTTTTGTTTCGTCCGTAATTCTGTGCAAGTAAAAAAATAGGTAAATAATAAATGCTTACAATAAAATCTACATATATATAGCGTGTTCAAAAAATTGAAAAATTACTTTTAATTGATATAAGTTACAAATTTCAATATTATTGTTTTGTAAAGATTTAGAACTTGTTTTTTGAATATTTTGCAAAAATCTCAGTTAAAATTAATATATTTTGATACAATGCAACATTATATTTTAAATTATAATAAGAACATCAACATTTCAAATTTAAATAAATAACATACATACATACATACATACATAACAACACACAACTTGACCACTGCTTTAAAATTTAATTACACAACAATCGCTATACATATTATTATAGTGGTTTTTTTTTATCATTAACACATATTATTGTAATCAAAGTTATCACCATAACAATAAATTTTTTAATTCCATTTTTTAAATTACTTGATATCAATATGTTTATATTTTGTTACATTTTCGAAATAAATATTTACATGGCAAACATTATAACAATAATGTTTAATAAATTAATAAACAACTATAACTGTCCAAAAATTATGATTAAAAGAAAATATTGTAGAAATTTATTATATTCTAAATGAATACAAATTTTTATGACATTAAATCCTGGAGAAAAAAATTGTTTGCAATAGATTATCTTTTTAAACATTGATTTTTCAAAAACTATTCTATCATAATATATTATTATAATTCTGTGGCCATGTGTTTTCAAAATCAGATAAAAAAAGTATTAATTTTCATCTAAAAATTATATATAACTTCTATTTTTAGAACACATTATATATCATTTTTAAAACTAATTATAAAACTAGAAATTACTTTGTAACAGTTTCTGATGTAAGAGTTTTTGTTGATTTTGTGCTACTTTTACATACAGTTGTTGGTTTTGCATTTTTTTTTCCAATTATTGAAGCCTTTAAATTACTTCTTGTGGTAGGCATTGTTGGTGTATTATTATTTTTTTTCACTAAATTGTTCATACTTATTCCAATAGACGCATTTGTAACTCTACGAATATTTTTTAATGCTGAAAACGTACTTTTAGGCTTAGAGTCCTCGATTTTTGAGGCAGATCTCTTCTGTCTTAAGTTTGGTACGTATATATCTTTTTGGACATCAGGAAGTGCATGATTATTTGTCTTCAATTTATTTTTTAAGACAGAAGATAATCTGCTTTGTTTGTACTGTAAATATTTAAATATAATTAAAAAAAATATTTTATACATAAATACTCAAATAATTTTAGATTACCTCTTCAGATTCTTTACATATTTCACTATTACCACTACTATTGCTGGTGAACTGTTCTTCATTACTAATGTGTGAATGAGGAGGCGGATCTACATACTCATATGCATTAGCATTAGAAGTATGCCGTTTAGCACTATATATTCCATGAATAAAGCGTTTATATTTGTTAACAGCATTTTTTCTTTTTTCTCGCCATTGTCTACCCAGTAATGTAAGATATTCTTCTTTACTGTGTAATAAATAATTGTATGTTTAAATTAATACACTAATAACATAACTGAGGAGTTGTATAAATTAAGTATTTACTTTGTGATTTTTAGGTACTTATAATTTAAATTTAGATACTTACTCAATTAGCCATTGTTGCTGTGCACCAATTACTGATCCAGGTCTACATATACGAGTCCATGCAATAGCTTCAACTGCTGTAAATGACCAATGCTTCACAATATATGAAGCCACTAAACAACCAGTTCTTCCCAATCCAGCTAAACATTATAATTAATAAATATCTAAAAAAGTATATATTAAATTAAGATTAACTTTTACCTTTGCAGTGGACAGCCACAGCACCTATATATTTAGCTGTATTATCTTCACTATTTATAGTTGTATTTGGAATAATATCATTTGCTTCACTTTTTTCATTATTTATATGGTCAATATTATCATCAATATATTGCTCACAGAGACGCAGAAAAACTTTGAGTATAGAATCTGAAGGAGGTGTACCATCGGTAAAAACCAAATCTGTATGTTGAATATTAGCTACTGCTACAAAGGTACTTTTAGCATCATAAGTCTTTTTACTGTTTAATCTGACTACATGCTTGACATTATTTTCTTTAAAATACGAGTAATAATAAGCTGGGGAATGTATCTGATAACCAGCTATAAAACAAATATCAAAGAATAATTTATTATTATTAATGGATTATTTAAATAAATAAAACCAGTGCTCGAAATAGAAAATGTTATGAACCAAAACATTCATAACATAATTAATGTGCTTATAAAACAGTACATTATTTTTTTTAGATATTTTCAGTTTTCACAACAAAAATTATTAGGCATATATAGATACAGATAGTTGATATATTATAGTTTTCAGAATATGTTATCAATGACAATTGCGGTCATGGGTTTAAAATGTTTAAATAGTTACATAAATCAGAAATTTTATTTTATTTTTTTAAAAAATTATTAATAATATTATCCTCCTTAATTGTAAGACTTTCAATGTCAAAAATATCTTACCAAGTAGCAATTTTATTTTATTTTTTCTAATATTTACTCAATATATTTCCTATTCAGAACCCTTAAATTCTAATTTAACCAACCATAACTGAAACATAAGGTAATATTACAAACCAGACTATTGTTTCAGTGGGTTTTGGTCCATTTCAAGCATAAATAAAACTATTATAAGTATAATTACATTTATCAATAAAATCTCGAGCATGTGGTGATGAAAATGCCAATAAAGTAGCAGGTACAATCCAATTGATATCACCATACTTCACAGTCTAAAGAAACATAACATTTTTAATTGTAAATATATAGCAATTTAAAATTTATACTAACTTCATATTTTTCATATTCATCCAAATCAAAGTCACTCATATCAAAAAACCCATACCATTTAGCTTTATATAAAGCATTAACACATTCTTCTACTGAAACTGAATATTCTGACTGCAGCAAGCACGATGCATCCCTAATATTATTAACAAATTAATAAATTAAAAAACATTCACTTTTTTTTTATATCTAATATTTACCTAAATGGTAAATATTTATATTTATATTTTTGTGATACTATATTATATGTTTGATTTGCCGTCCAATTATGTTCAATTATCTATAACATTAATATGTTAATGTTAAAAATGTATAATTTGTTAGTGAGTAAATATAAGTAAACTGACCAAATATGCACACATAAGAAAAGCAGCATTTGACCTTTTCTTTTGATCACCAATATGAGCACAGTGAATAACTCTTTTATAAACCTAAAAAACATTTGGAAAATAATTCATTAATTGGTGGTTTTATCTATCATCAAAAAACTAAGCAATTATACCATGATAAATAATTTTAAAAAACAGTTAATTATAATACAAATAACACAGAATTTACAAATTAATCATAAATATTAGGTTAGTTTTATAAATTTTCATCTCAAATAATTTTTGAAAAAAGTTAAGACCATAATATTTATTTATTTACTTTGAAATAATTAAAAATGTATCAATTATGGTACATCAATTTCAATATAATAAATATAAATAGCAATTTTATAACTGTGTATTTTTAATAGTTATTAATTGTTACTTTATTTTTTAATAAAATGATCTAATTCAATTGAAACATTATTTGAAACACATTTAATATTTTATTCCATTTTAAAATGGGATACATTTAATATTATATAAATATCACAAATAATAAACGAAATATGTAAATATTAAAAATAGTCAAAAGTAAAATTTAATTTGTAAGCTAATAATATACTATTAACTGACAAGGAAAAGCATAACATACTGTTGAAGCACAATGTTTCAATAAGCAATTCACAATTCTTTACATTCTAAAATATGTTTACTGTTAACAAATAAAAAAAATAACAATAAAACAAAATCATAATTTAAAGAATAATAACAAAAATTTATGAAAGTTTTAACAACTATTTGATAAATTCAATTTTTATAAAATATTGTTAAAACTATTTAGAGCCATAATTTATACAACTCAAGTTCTTATTTAATTTAATTTACAACATTTACACATTTCAGGAAAATTGGTTATATTTTAAACATTTTGAGCTACACTATTATATATCCTAAAAATTCTTTAATTTACAAATTATCAAAAAGAAGGATTAAAAGAACTGAAACGGAATTTCATAATTTATAAAAGTATTTAATTACATAATTAGTTCTTTATCGTTTCTGACTTAGTTAAAATAAAATATTCATAAATTATCTATGTACTCAATTATAAATAAAAGTAATTAATTAAAACTATAGCATTCATTGCTAATGTCCTTTTATTATAAATAAATACATTTTTAAACCTTTGTGAATGTTTTAAAAATTATATTTATAAGAATTTTTATAATTGAATAAAAAATTTCTCAAACTTTCTGAAGACATTTGAGATATTGTCATAGATTATATTTTTATAAAAATTGAAGAGCATCATAACTATCATGTATAATTTACACCTGTACAAAATTTAAGCATATAATAAACAATTTCTGCATCATTAGTTATTTAAAAACTATTATTAAATTTTTAAAAAATTACTTTTATTTACACTCAAATATTAAAAATTATTATCATAAGTACTCCAACCTTAGAATTCATTTCTTAATAATTAACTCACAAAAACTAATAAATTACAAAATAAATATGTACATAAATAATTTGAAATTATTAAATTAATTTTAAAAAAAATATCTTTTAACATAATATATAACAGCATATTATGAAAGTTTATTTGGTTTTTGAACAATTTCTTACAATTTGGTTTTATATTTCAAAGTAGAATATTTTCTACTTCAAAATAAAAAAGAATAAAAGAATACACATTTTGAAAAAATTATTAGTAAATAATAAAGGATAAAGAAGTTAAAAAGAACAAAGTAGTTAATAAGCATTTCATATGGTGCCACTTTAAGCAACTTATTTAATTTAAAATATTTATAACTAAATGTCTACTTATTTGTATTTCAATTTTTACACATTAAAATCCATAGAAAAATTTTAAATTTAAAAATTAAAAACATTTTTATTTCAAAAACATTACTATAGAATAGAAAAATATGTATTTTACTACTGAAATGTTTAAGTATATTAAGTTTTCATAATATAAAATTACGAAACAATGATACAGTGTATGTATAATTTTTAGAGAAAATACTCTAAAAATTATTTGATGAAAAAAAATAAATATGTATCTACGCAACAAGGTATATACTTTTTTTAAGTTTTAAAGAAATGTGTTGAAAATTATCTAAATATTAAATAAAATCTATAGAATAATTTTTATTTTTATACAAATAAAAATAAAACTTAAAAATGATGAGTATATTCAAAAAACTCTTAACATTATTGAATATTATGTATAAAAATAGTTGTATATTATTTAAAAATTATCTACACTGCCAAACAATTATTAAAATGTCTGATACTTTCAATGATTTATTAAAAAATTTTAAATCAAATTTTATATTAAGAAGAATTTATTTCTCTGCAATTTTTATTATTAAAGGATTATTATTTAAAAATGTTCATAACTTGCTAAAACATTGGAATATTTAAAAAATAAACTAGTTAACCAGACAGAGTCAATACATGCAAGCGCATGTTCCTCTTAAGATTAATTCATGATTAAAATATTGAATAATAAAAATACATAAATTTAAATAAAAACATAAATATTATCTAAATTTTTTTTAACTGTAAAATTTTTAACTTACTTGAAGCTTGTCTCGTACTATACCAATATAACGATATATCATTGCTAAATTTAAAGGACCAAAGTCACTATAAAAACCATCATACACCAAATTGTCATCAACATTCAAATAAAATACATCTTTGTCCTTCAACGAATTTTTCCAATCCTTGAAAGTTTGAAGCGTTGTTGGATCCTTATGATTAGATAATACCATGAAATATAGGCGATCTGTAAATGAAAAACTAGTCAGATTAAAATATTTTTTTCAAACATAAATTTAAACTTACTTTCAATCAATTCAGACAATTCGGCAACTTCCAATTTATTAGCATTATTACTAACCATAAGATTGTTGAATTCAACTGACATTTTCAAAATAGTTTCTTTTTTTCCTTTCAACCGAGTGATATCAATGTATAGCTAGTAGCTACAATACAAGCGCTGAAGATGTTTAATGTTCCACCGTCCATCCTACACTGCTAATACAATGAAAGCCCACACATAACAAATTATGATTAAAACACCTACACTAATAATATACTACTTTCTGGTCGGTTATATGTCCACCTACTTACTCCTATTAATGTAGGTGTGCCTTCCAGATTCTATAATTTGTATTCTAAAAAAACAAAATACAAAAAATAATTAAATAATCAAAAAATTTAAAAAAAAAACTTAAAAATAATCAGATAATTAATTTATGGACAATACAACTAAGTACCTACATTATGCATACTCTATTTCAGTTTGCACAAATTTAATGTATGAAAAATAAAAATTTATATATGGCACATTACAACCAGTGACCCGAAAAATAATGTTTTTTATAAGTAAACAGAAATCGACCAGTCATTAGTAAGTTAATAATAATTACACACTGGTTACCAATTACTACTGTTGCTAAATCAACTGTTGAATATTTCAAATGATAATTAATGGTATTGTATCGGTGTTACTATTATTAAATGTTGTAATATTTTTATTTAAAATTTACATACCTACATGATGTACAATATGTGGAGCTACATCAACATCTTGTTATTATACGCATGCTACACTAGCTGATAACAAAATGCAGGGTTCCCAAACACGTCTAAAAAACGCTACACGGGCGTTACCGTGGGGAGCTGATGAATAGCGATTACGCCGGCCTACTGCTAACTTTATAAACTGTTTTTTAATACATACGAATAAAAGCCGTCGCTTATAAATTAGTACGCAAACTTAAGTACTGATACAAAGAAACGTGTTCAATTGGTAGGGGGCTCGTGAAAATGTTAAATTTTGGTCTTGTCAAATAAATTAAGAATTTTATTTCTGTAATATATTATTACGATTTACGACTCTTGATAATTTTATTATAAACATAAATAAATGATGTTAAAAAATTAATAGTACAGCAGTACTACTGCTCAAACGTTTTTTTTTATTCTTATTGTATTATGAATTTTATTCATTTAAGCTTTTTTTTATTAATGATCACCATTTGTAGTTAGGTACCATTGACTGTTTTATACACTAGTACAAATTAAATGCTAAGTTTATATTTATATTTCATATAATATAGTAGGCGTCAATTTATTAATACTATTTAATAAGGCTGAGATTCTGATGTAATGTCATTTTTTATTTTTCTATTGGTATTTAAAAACATATCTATAACTTATAAGTAAGTGGAAAACGTGTGTTTTGAGGAGTCCTGAATATTTTAATGATATTTACACTAAAAAATTTTATACATTTTTTACATATTTGTAGAATTAAGTGTATAATAGAAATCAGATATTATAATGTCAAACGTGTTATAGATATGTATTTATCGTCAACCACAGTTTTCATATCTATAAATTATTTAATATGCAATAATAATACTTCGATTTCACAATATTTCGTATTTAATCTAAAAAAAAAATCACTATTGTACAACACGTTTCTGTTATATATATTTTTCAAATTAATGAATATATTTTTAAAGTATTTTTATTGTTTAAACTTTAAGATTTGTGTTACACTTTTGCATTTTTTTTAGGGCATGAAAATCACAGCCTTAGTACCTACTATAATTAATCATAGCGTTATTTTAATATTAAATAGGTATGTATTATTAGTATTAAGTACATATTATTATACATTGGTCAAGTCAAAAAACGGATAGTATTTATATTGACTGGGAAATGTAATGATTAATTAAAATTTGAAAATTGAATATCATAATTTATTGGTAGGTACAATTTGAGTTTAGGTGATTTTTTTAAAACGTTAATCACAGGAAAAAAATTGAAAATACCCACATGCATTATTTCAAATAATGATTTTTTTTTTTCTATAACTTCTAAAATAACTATTATTGTGTGCGTTTCATCTAAAACAATTATTTCAATTGTTATTTTATTAAAGTATAAGTATTCAGCCGTGGATAATGATGTACGAATTACCGGATAATTTACGAATAATAAATATTTATTAAATATTATTTTTACTTTATTCAAATATGAAATAGATAATGTTCACCTTACTCAAATAATTTTATACATTAATACATTATACGTGTTTTGTACTTAATAGTTATTCTTCCCTATTCTCTGATAAAAATCGCGATTTTAGTTATTTTTAAATATTTTTCTAAGAATATTAATTGTATTATATTAAAAACATTCCATTGCTATTACTTAAATTATTGTTTTCTATACTTATTAAATATTTTCAAAATATTTAAGACTAATTATAAGCTGTTAATAAATATTTTAAACTTGATGTTTGGTCAAAAAAACTTAAAAATTAAATACAATATACCACATTAGTTGTTTAGATTAATTATTTCAATTTATTGCCGAGTATTGCCTATTTATACCACGAATAATATAAAGATATTTACTTAGTTCTATACGGTAAATAGTTATAGAATTTTTTTTATAATTGTTTAAGTTTGTATTATTAATTCGTTTACACACATAAATTATTTAATTAAAACATAATTTCACGATAAATAATAGAAATTTTGTTTTTAATAGTATCCTAACATTTGTGTATAAATTTAATTACCTATTTAAATATGTATACAATTTTTTTGGCGTAATAAGAATTTATAAAGGTAACTTTTTACCATGTAGCAATTTTAACGAACATTATATTATGTATTTTTACATGATACGTATTGTCTAGGAACTTAAATTCATCCATTTATTTTGCCTTATTAACCTATTTATCTCAGCAACAGAATAAAAACTATTTTAATAAATTATTAACAAAAAAAAAACTTAAATGTCCTTATGCCCTTGCACAAATCATGTTCAATCGCATGTTTCATAATTACAAATGATTAGGTATATAGGAAGGTACCTTTTATTATTAGAGAAAATAATAAAAAAATGTACTGGAATATATTCTCATACCATTTCTATTAAAAAACAAGTATAATTATACCTATCAAACTTATTTTAAAAGTCGTATAATTACACATAAAATTGTAATTAGTAAGTGACTTTATTAGTAGATGATAATATTAAAATATGAATTTCCTCAGTTGTTTTAGACACGCTGATTTCAATTTTCGTCCAGTATATTATTTACAGTTAAAAAAGCTACATAAGTAAAGGATCATACCGCAATCTTTACGATTTCGCGGATAAACCATATTTTTGAACTTTTTTTATTAGTCGATTCGATTGACATAAATGATAAACAACTGTTAACCGTAAAATGGTTTCCAAAAACATTTTTTCCTGTATAGGTATGTAATCAGCTTATTCAAAATTTAAATGTAAAAACATTCAATCTGACTATCTGAGTATAATTGTATAAACCACGAGACATTAAATATTTATTCATCAGTACATTTTATTTTACAATAGGTTTATACTTTATAGACGTTACTGAATTCTGTGACAATTACTGAATTTATTTATAACGTTTAATTGTTTGAAAAATGCATGGGCAATGCCAACATTTTCGTCTACAAATAACGTATTAGACAGGACTAATGACGATAAATATGAATTAATTGTCGGCGGCAAATGTGTGCTATGGGCGCTATGGCCATAATCCAGATTTATGTAGCTATGTCTAGAAAATGCTAACATAAATATTTAGTGGAAAATTCAAGTTTATTAGTTATTATACTTAATAGATATTTGAAGATTAACTTCTGATGAAATTGAATATTTTAACAAAACTGAAAACAAAAAACGATTTTAAATTATCTTATGATTTCATAATGAATATTTTTAAATCGTTTTAAGGTAGTTAGGTATTTTGTAAGAATTAATACATTTTATTTTCAAGTCAAACATTTAATGCGGACTTGGAAACAAAAAATATAAAAACTAACGTTTAAAATCGCAATTAATAATTAATCTATCTTACGTTTTATACTCTTATTAGGATAACAACCATCACATTATTCACTATTATTTTATTATTTACTTTATTAAGTACCTAGTAAAGAAGCTATACGTTTAAATGATGATTATAATATAAAGATTAATGATTGTGAAAAGAAACGCGAGTGCCGAGTTATAACAAATAATATCACAATGATATGACAGGATATGTATTTTATGTACGGGAATTTTACATTACACATTAGCTTAACCAGCTCTATTAAATTAAATAATAATAAAATACAAAGTACAACCTTCAATGAGAAAATGAGTCAAATAATTAAGTTAAAAAGATAAAAATAATTTAATAATTTGATCTACCTATTTAGTTTTTAACTAATTAATACTCTCCACTTATGGAAATCAATTATCAATGTATGACGCTCGTAGCCCGTGTCGTAAGGTTATCAGTTGTTTATCAGTAAATAACTGTGGTAGCCAACGACAACATTATCGCGATGCCGCTAAGCCGCTTTCGGCATATCTATTCTATGTACTGACTTAGTAAACAAGGTATTCCAAACACGGTGAAAATATTATAATTTAATCAATGATAGTAGATATTGTTCAAACCGAATTATTGTGCAGCTGTAAATTCAAAATTTAAAAACGTGCTTTACTAGACGATAGTACTGGAATTTAACTCAAAATAATAATAATTATTGTCTTATAGTCGATCACTACTTTTTTTTTTTGTCATAAGTATGAGTTGATTATGAATCGTTAGTTTGCAGATTCTTCTTTTTTTTCATCGACCGCGAATTAACATAATATAAATACTTTACAAAATATAGGTATAGATTTAAGAGTTAAGTTTGCTACTTGATCAATTTAAAACGTCTCGAATACAAATACGATTTTAATTTATTGTGTTCAGTTTATGACAAAACGGCAAATACTCCATAATTACTTGAATACAGCAGTGAGGTAAGTGTCTACTTTCCAAAGTTTACATTAAGATTTTTTTTTTCAAACACTACATGCATTGTTTTGATAATTTTTTCTTACTACCCAAATTAAGATTTTTGAATCTTATATTGCTCTTAGGGAGAGAATTTTATTAATTTGTATTTAATGATGTTACAGGTGCCATAAAATTACAAAAATGTTTAATTAAATTTTAGTACCGCTACCTACTACTCTTAGAATAAGGCTCCAAACTTAGCGTGATGATATTTAACATCTGATAAAGATATTGTTTATCTCGTACTGAAATTTTGGCATCTTGTATATATTACGATAATTTGGAATTATTAGTTAAAATAAGTTCAATAGTATTACATATTCTACCTGAAGCATTAATGTCTTTTGTCTTGACTATTTAAAAAAGAAATTACTTCTCATAATGTCAGCAGATGAAGTGGAATCTGAAGTTAATTTTATGAAAACTTATAGTATAATAAAATGGGACGAAATAACGTAATTATACATTTCTTAAGGCAATGTTCTTTTAATGTTATTTAATATGTACAATAATTAATTAATTTTACTTGATTTTTACATTTAAGAAAGCTAAATAATGATCGTAAATCACTTAACCAGAAAGTTTTGCTTGGGTTAGCCACCAGAGAGGAATTTTTGAAACAAATAAAAGTCGAATTAAATATGCTGGACACGTGTCAACTTAAAATTGAAGTAAGATTATGTCGATTGATATTATTTAAATTATTACTATTATTTTGGTTTTATAGCAAGAAATGAAAGAAAACAACACTGAGGATATTAATACTGAAATACTTACCATTTTATCAAATCGTATAAATGATATGTATAATAACATGTTTCTACTGTTTCCTGTTGAAAAGACTTCATTGTTAGAATATATTGAATTCTGCTCAAATAATGTAAGTAACCAAATTACATCATTAATGATTTTAAATTTTATTATACCTTATGTGTTTATTCAATTTTTTATTAGCAAAATCTCTAATGCCTATTGTTATTATATAAGAATTTAAGTTTAAGAGGTACTTGTTTTTTATTGCCCCGCCTGTACGCCGTAAAAAATTTATCGCCTCACCACTCTTGTTTGTTATTATCCCGCCATAAATTAAATATATAGGTATAATATGTTTATTTGATCATAATTTTAATGGAGATTGGAGGGCAGAACTCAGATATATCTTTTAAGATGGTTTCAAATGTGTCTTATTCTCCTCATAAATTTTTGCCAAATACGATTCCATCAAATTTTTTTTAGTTAAATTTTTTCAGTGCACTGGTAGGGTTATAACAAACAAGTACCGTTTAAGATAAGTGATTATTCATGATTTCATGAATTATAAAAAAGTATATTTACATGCATTTTGATTATCGCAACTATCAAGTTCATTTTTAATTTTTTACCAGTTGAACAGCATATAAATAGATAGGTGTGACAACAATTCAACAGTTTATATTATTGTGACTGCGATCTCACGTACAAAATAATATTTATATTTTCAAAAGCTTAAGAACTTAATTATTATTTTTTTTTTATTAAAATTATACGATCATCAAAATATGTAATAACATAATATGATAAAAAAATGTCATACACATTTTAAATAGTTGGTTGGCCTTATATAGGATCATTAATAATTTTTATTAATAATGTAATAAGTAGGACTAGGATTTATATGCAACAATGTATTTTTTTTTTTGCAAACTTCTAATTATTGCTTTTGTAAGTAATGTCCATGGATCACCTCATGATGAGATAAACAGTGGTGATTTTATTTTCATATTTTTGCATATTTGGGACAAAATGCATGTTATTGCATATTTTATGGTATATTTTGTTACTATAATATACGATTTTATCATACAACAGTATATCAGTATGTATTGACACTGTTCAAAATTACCTATTGAAGGTATACCTATATTAATTTTTTGATAATTTAAAACGTCATGTAATTGTTTTGTGTAATACATTTGAATAGCGTGAATAGTTAAGAATATTATTTAATTAATTTTAAAACATGATTTTTTAAAGTGTATATTGCATATTTTTGTATATTTTTAATAAATCAAATACATAGTTTACAATTTTTTATTGCATATAAATCCTAGCCCTAAATTAATAAGCGATAAATAATAAAAGACATTAAATAATATACAATTCTTTTAATATAATTTTTTTTAAATAATATTAAAAACATTTAAATGTTGATATGTTTCTTATACTGTATTTCTAATTATTTTATTGGAAATGTTTTAAATATTTATATTTTTAAAAAAACTGCCGAAATATGTTTTGACCAACTTTGTAATGGCAAATTTTGTTACTAAATTATAATTAATTTGTTTATTTATTTAACCTTTTTAAATTTTTGATTTTAGATTTTATTTATTACTAAATGTAGTAACATGTTGGATACACTCATGTTGAGATACCATAGTGACCCTGAAGTATATATAACTGCAGCAACATATGAATTTGATGACCGAAATAATGTTGAATCAGCCAGACGATATTTTGCAGAAGGATTAAAACATCATGAAAATTGTAAAAACTTATATGTAGAAGAGTTTTGGGTAGAAGTTCAACATTTAGAAAAGACTGACGGTGCCTCACTTCCAATTGCCATTGAAAAATACAAGAACCTAATAAAACGTTTTGAAAATGATATTGAATTTCATTTCATATTATTAGACAGAGCAATCAAATTAAGCGCAGTTAGAGAACTACAATGCAATGTAGTCAGGTATTGATAACTTATTATATAATTTATTGTACATTTTTATAAATATATTTTATTTCATTTAGAGATATGATTAAAAAATATAGACATAGTGAACTAATGTGGCAAAAATTAGCTAAAATACATTTTGATGGATTTATCTATCATCAAGAAACTGAGCAATTACACTATGATAAAAATTATATTAATGGTATTAGGTCAGTATCCAAACATTTCAAAAGATACTTTTTTAAGATACTTTTATATTTATTTTATTGTTTTATAGAAATTGCATTAAAACCTATGAAAACGGATTAAAAGAAAATTTACCACTAAAAAATAAACATAAGTTATGGAACTTTTATATTGATCATATTATAGAAATTCGTAAATCTTATCGTATGAAAAAGGAAACAATCAGAAATTTTATGAATGAAACAATGGAGCGAGCCTTTCAAGAAGCTCACGATAATAAGGCATTATGTAAAGCTGAATATTACATTTATTGGGTTGGTATATTTTTAAAAAGTAATACTGTTTAATGTAATTTATAATTTTTATTTTTTTTTTTTTTTAGATTGAAAATACAAATAAAGACTGTCATAAAATTATGAAAGAAGCAGTTGAGGTGATAAAAGATAGTGAAGAACTATGGTTTAATTTAATATCATATTATTTGAGTAACGATAGTCTTGAAATGGGCATTGAAGCTTTTCAAGCCGGTGTTCGGGCTTTAAAAAATAAATCGATGCCATTATGGGAAATTCTTATTTTATATATGGCGAACACTCATCCAAAATTGGTAAAATAAGTATTAGTATTTTGATTTTTCTCAATGATAATTAATTTCAAAGTAATTAATTGAAACTCTAGTATAAAAATTATCTGTTGGCATTGCTATAATCGTAATTTTCATAAACACTAGAGAAGTAATTAACACAATTACAAACAATATTAGGAGAATTAAGTTGATCAGCATATAATTTGGTAAATTTGTTCTTGCGTTTACTGTTAATGAATTTCCAAAATTTAGTCTAGACTAGTCTATAAATGTTTTAAATTTTATCTATTTAATTTTGGTAATCTGTTTTGAAATAAATTTATGCACAAAGATTTGAATTAGTATTATAATCACTTACCAAACCAGAACTCTTAAACAGTTTATGAGCAAGTTTTTTTTTTTTTTTAATTGATTTTTTTAAAAGTTTACTAAACCATGAAGGGTAATTTTAGATTGATGTTTAATTATTTTAGGTACAGATATATTGAAGATATCATAAATAACTCAAAATATTAATATCATTAACATATCATTATTTTCATGTATACCAAGACCTTAAAGTAATTTATTTCATTCAATGGAAGCCTAATTAAAAATAATATCTGCGTAGTTACAATTAAAAAAATTATACATACATAAATTTTATTAAATTGGCTCAAATAAAGATATGGGAAAAGCAATAAGTAGGCTCGGATGTTAATTATCACACGGAACAAGAAGTTTCATCTATTTATTTGCAACTAAATTATTTATGCCAGAGAATTAACTATAACATTGAACCATTACAATTTAAAATATTACATTGTAAGAAATTTAAAAGAGGTAATTTTGATAAGAATTTCGATTTAATATTATTTAAATTCAATAGATCAAGAAATAAACCAACAAAGTCACCGATTAAAATTACATTTTAATACATAGAAAACTTAATAGTAAATTATTAATAATTTCAAAATGCTTATTATAAATTAAAATATCAGTATGAGGTGGAAAATAAACATTGCTTACTATAAAGTAACTGTGATTAATTTTAATTAAATATTAAAATTATTTAATAATGAAAAATATATGTTTCAACTAGACTCACAAATATTGATAATAAACGAGAATGAAATTTATTATTGACTGCTATTAGAACATCTCCATCTCTAAATGATTGCTCGTAATCAGTTTATTTTTATAATCTTGTAAAATACATTTTATCTAAAATTAAATATTAAAATGTTACACATTGAAATCTGTATTAATTAACACATTCAGCAGTCAACTCAATGTTTTTTTATATACTTCATTACTTTTTTCTTTTCTAATATAGAAAATACAAATATCCAATAGCAGACAATATTTAATACTTGTCTATAAATGTTTGATTATTATAAATATTATTTTCTCTCTATAAAAATATATGGTTGCCTCATAACATTATTTATTTTTATTTAGCTCCAACAATTATATCATGAAGGCTCACATTATCCATACCCTGAAGTAAATTGTATAATCAGGCCTGAATATTTAGAATGGAATGTAGTTCACAATGGAATACTTTCAACTCGTGAATTGTTCGACAAACTTAAAGACGTAGAACCAGAATGCAAACAGTTGTATAAATCTATGATTTCATTTGAACTCACTCAGAACTCAGGCATTACTAAAATAGGTTATATTAGAAAATTGCATAACACTGTATGCAATTCTTTTGGCACAACAGATATCGGTGATTATCAATTTTTCCTACAATATTATTGATAGTGATTTTTAATTTGTTACAATTACAGATGTATGGACTGACTGCATGCGTTTTGAATACATGTATGGTTTTCATAAATATGTGAAAGGAATTTATAAGGCAGCAATGGATTCTTTGAGATCAGATTTACAAAGTAGTATGACAGAAGAATTTGAAAAACTTAAAGAGGAATTCAAGTATGTAATAATTATTTAATTGCTATAGTTAAAAATGAAACTTTTTTTTTGTTAATTACAAATTTAATTTTCTGATGATTTTTTAGAGATTTTGATCCGAAAGATGGAGGAGTTATTGTTATTGAAGATGACGAATAATTCTCAAGTTATAGTAAAAATTGACATTGGTATGTGTTTTTATATTTACATTGATATTCTTCAGTTACTACTTTGTAAACACTATTTTTAATTTTATTTTGTCTGATATGTTAAATTAAGTTTAAGTATGTGTATCATTAATTATTTTTATATATTTTTTAAATGATATAAACATAACATAACTATTTTTTTATGTTAATATAATATTACTAACCCTAAAGGGTTAGGTACATAGTTCAGCCAAAAATGTGTTCAAAATGATATAAAACAGTTAATATGACATTGTTAATAATTTGTCATTCAATATTTTTGTAAAGTACTGTACAATCAAAATAAAATACAATCATAACAATTGAAATAGATATAAATATGTTTCTATTTTTCAATTAAATGTAACAAATATTTCAAGATTATATAATTTTTTTTATATACATATAAAACATATCACTACAAATCATATACCTTTTAAGAAATAAACTGACTGATATTTTTAGAAAAAGATATATCTATGTATATATGTTTATGTTTTAAACCTTCGTCAATAAACTGTATATTCTTTATTGCTAATGTACGAATTATATCCTTCATTGTCACATCTTCCTCTTCATATATTTCTATATTTAACCTTGACAAGAAATTTCCTATTACATTTTTCTTTCCTAGTATATATTTTAGAGCTAAGCTATAACTTATAAGATATAATCTTGGTCTTTTTATTCAGTTGTTTTGAATTTCATCTAATGTTTTATTAATAATTGATATCAATGACATAATAATATATGATCTGTTTAAATTGTTACATCCCAATGACCATGAATGTAATCATGAATTTTTTTTTTTTGCTTGAAAATGTAATAGCTAATAATTCTTATTCAATCTGTGCATATACTATTTTGGTTAAATTTCAATAATCTAGAGTGAGGCAAAGTATACCTGCCTACTATTTTGTATCAAACAATTACCTAATGCATTTTTGAAGGCATTACAATATATCTGTACGAGTAAACTCACATCATAAAACACTAATACTTATTAATTCATGATATTTTTTAAATTATCTATTAATTTAGCATACTCTTTAGACCAGCAACGGGCAACTCAAAATTACTTGAGGGCCAATTTTTAGAATATTAAAATCTAGCAGGCCAGAATATAGAAACCAAAATAAAAGTCATTCAAAATATACATTTTAATTAGTATTTATTTTGTTTAAAATATGAATTTTTAACTTTAAAATTGTATGATGTAATTTGAAAATGTAACATGGGCCAGATAAATAAGGCTTGCGGGCCGCCAGTTACCCAACCCTGCTTTAAACTATACCCACATACAATATTTTTTTAATAATTGCCTTAGGGGTTCTGTTGATTTTGACAAATTTGGTATAACGTTTTTTAAAAAACTAATCATACCTAAAAACCGTTTAAGCTTATCGTATTTCAATTTTTTGATAACTCGAATTTTCTTTAGGCCAGATTTAATTCCATTTCTATTAAAAATCATCTCTAGGTATTTAACTTCTAGTATTCAATATTATATTTTATCAAAATTAAACTTAATATTGTTGTCTCTAACTCTCTGCATTACCTTTTCAACTATATTATTATGTTCCTCACTTGTATCAGCACCTATCATATCATACACTAATTTCTTAGTTTTTTTTTTATTATTTAGAAAAAATACAATCAGTACAGTTTATATACAATAAGAATTTTTGTTAACTATGTATTAACACTAATTCCTGAAAGAATTCTGGAATATGTTTTAACCCAATTGGAGCTCTCAATAATCTATCTACCATAGATATTGTTTAATGAACAATATTTACTCAGTTTCTCATGTAATTGAATTATATATTAATATATGATAGAAATCATTTTTTATATTAAATACTATATAATATGTTTTATGTGATAATTTAGGTACCAATTCTTCTAGCGTAGCGCTGGTATGGTATACATTTCTTTAATAAAAACTTTATTTAAATATATTGGATCTATGCATATTCTTGATGACCTGTTTGGTTTTTCTACAATCTGTAACCTATTTACTCAATCCATTGATGTATTTATTGACATAATAATTTCCTTATCTTCTAATTTATTTAATGTTGTTTTAAAGTTTTCTTTTATTTTAATTGGTATTCTTCTTGCTGTTAATGCTTTTCGGTATTAACTCTTCTTTCAACTTTATTTAAAAAAACATCTGGAAAGCATCTTAAGCCTCTAAATAGATCATTATTTTTTTATAGAATATTTGTTTTATAATATTTACCTCATCTATTCTTTCTACCAATTCTAGTTCTACACTTGACTGTAAGCTTAGTATTCGAGTTAATTTTTCTTTAATTACTATAAATGTGACTGCCGTATTTAAATTACCACTTTTGTTTAGTATTTTACATTTTAAATTTATTTTTCCTATTACCTCTATAATATATTCCCCCCCCCCAACGCACATAATTTAATTTTAACAAGTTTTATTTATTTTATTTTATTTTTTTGATTATTTTTATTTATGTGATTTAATAGCAATACATTAATATTAGCACCTATGTTATTATCAATATTAATAATTATATCTTTAAACCATGTTTTAATATTATTTACAGTGTTTATTATATTATCTATAATTTCAACTTTCACATTTTCAGTTGAAAACTGTACCTCACTACATATCTCTATTTCATTCTCACTTAACATATGCGCTCTGAAAAATCCTACAGAATTTTTTTAAATGACCTATACGATAACAATTATAACACTTCTTACTATAAGCTGGGTAACTATGGCGACCATGAAGTGCACCATACCTTTGACAATTAAATTCTTTTTTATTATTCTTAATTTTTGGAGATTTACCTCCCTTAAATTTAATGTGTTAATTTTGATTATCTTTATTTGATTTTTATATCTTTGATTAAAGTATTATAACTTACATTTTGAGTTATTTTCCATTTGTCAAACTTTATCTGGTTCCATTGACTGTTCAAGTTATTTTCTCTTATGCTTTGCTGCTTCCACTGCTCGACAATACTGAAGCGTTTTCTCAAATATTTCTTCACGTAGTAATCGCTCCTGTAAATCTTTATTTTAGATGTATTAAATGTAAAAACCATAGACATATAAAACAACTAGATAGCGGACTACGTATTACATTCCCGTACGAGAACGTTGAAGTCGAGCAGCCATATGCCAACAGGGCAATGTTTACAAAATAAATCAATAGATAAGATTTATTAATAAACGATTTAAACGAAACTGAAAATAAATTCGTTATTTGTTTTGTATTATTATCAATATTAGCTATCTTATCTATTGAGTTATTTTGTAAACATTGCCCTGTTGGCATATGGCCGCTGACTTCAATTTTATCGCGCAGTCCGCTATCTAGTTGTTTTAAATGTCTATGGTAAAAACACATTTAATTTGTTAATAAAAATCAAAATCACATTATTTTTTTAACTTATAACCTATAAATATAAAACATGTACGGCTATCAGTGTTACCTCATGTTATATGCTATTATAATGTTCATATTCCATATTATATTTAATATCAATATCAATATTTTTATTCCTATGAACAATAATCTACTTATATACTTTATACTGGTTCATAATATACCATAGGTACACAACGCTTAATACAATTTTAGATTAAATAATTATTAAAATATATTATATTTCCATTATAAGTATACTTAAAAAGTGAATATCGTATGTAATTATGTACCTTGTGGCTCGTTCGCTGAACACCTTTCTGTAAGTTACATAAATAGACTTAGAAATTTGTAAAAAGTACAATATTATTACAAACCGAATATCCTAATCTGAATTATCCAAATAATCTGGATATTTTAAACTTGTTGCTTACTTATTAAAAAGACGTGATCTATATTCTATGGTATGAAATATAATATTATCAACTTCCTACCTACTGCATCAACCATCGACATATTTTTAAAAACTTTCTTCATAATGTGAACATTTGAATTATTCGGATTATTCGGTTATTACATTTTGGATTTGGATATCCATAAAATCCGGATTTTTGACATTACTAGTTGAAACACCCCTCACGGACTATATAATATATTTTACATAATGGTTTTTTATACTTTTATTGTTTTCAAGTTAACGTTAAATAAAAATATGTCTACGCTTAATATATCACGTTAGGTTAATAATAATATATTGTAATTTTTAATTAGAAGTTGGTGACAAGTTTACAATATAAACAACTAGAGTCTAGAAGTGCTAATTTTAGACTTTATTTTTCCCCTTTGATAAGAATTTTCAATTTAGTTATTTTTTTATCATCACGATGTAATGACTTGTGTCGATTTGAGACTTTGAGAGTAGTTCGGTTGAGCAATATTGCTCTAGGTGCTTATTTTAATAAAATAATAATTCTTTTTTTTATAACGTGTTTACCGTCTGGTAATTTTTAAATTATATTTTTTTTTATATGTACTATATTTTATCACGATATATATTAGTAGTATTCTTCTTTTATAATCAAATAAGACATAATTAATGATATCGATAACGATATCCCTTCGTCCCACGATTATATTGATGGCAGTTGTGTCAATGTAATTTATAAATAATACGTCTACTGTTTTCGGGGAAATAAAATAATATATTAATATATATCATGGAAAAATATCCTCAAATTATTAAGAAGAAAGTGTTTATTTAAAATGCTTTTTGAAAACTTGAAAATGAGTTACCCAATAAAGCTTTTCTTACCAGTTACCATGAGTAATTTTTTTAAAGAAAAATAACTTTCTTCTCTTTTATAAAAATTAATATTGCGAGATACATGTTTCTTAATACAGTGGCTTCAAATGATTCTACAGAAAGGTCATTTTTAACTTAAAAAAGGGTAAAAACTTAGCTTTGGTCAAGTATGTCTAATGATAGACTTAATAGTCTACCCATATTAAACAATGAATGCAAGTTAACCTAATAAGTCGAGTATGAAGACGTTTCTATACATTTGCCACTCAACAAGCAAAGAGAAAAAATTTATGATTTTATTTTTAACATTTAAGTATCAAAATAAACTTAAATAATGTGTATAATATACATACTTAATGATAAATAAATGTAAATATATTATATACTTGTCATTATTCATTGCATTAATGAAAACGTTTAGAACTTTTTAAAGTTAGTATATAGCTATAAAGGAAATGAAAAATATCGAGTTTTTTAGTTGTAGTGAGATAAACTTATTTTTCGTAATGAGTCTTAGTGTAGATGACTTCGATGAAGGATATAAGTAATTAAGTAAATTTCTAGCACAGCGAAAACTTTTTTTTGATTAGTCTAAGTGAAAATAAAGGTGAATTATAGGCCGAAAAATTACTAAATACGGCTGTGGCCAATAAAATCCGACCGATGATCGAGTTTCTTGTGAGGCGTACGGCCGCTACATAAGGCCAAAGTATTTTCCCGCTGACCTACAAACTGAATAAGATTTACCAAGTACCTATCTGGACTAACATTTTTAACATTGTCCAGACAGACAATCTATGTACTCATTCTTGTAGTATTGATAATGTTTCTGTTATCAATTTTATCATAGTTGTCGATAAATTTATTGTCAAAATACGTTCATAAGATTTTTAAATGAATCCATTTTTTTTTTAAATACTGACTCAATATCTTATTTGAAATACTTGAGTACATCAGTCATCGGCGATTATATGGAGAATGACATGGTAAATATTTAAATAAATAAAAGTTTAAAAATCGAAATTTATTTAAAAGTTATAATTGTACGATAATGAAAGCCCAAGTCTGTATTGAAAGTTTGCTTAGTAATAATAAAATTATAATTTCATAAGGTAAACCAAACTTAATTAAAATATGTTACTTAAAAAAAAAAAAAAAATTGAATAATACAAAATATTTCATAAAATTAACAAACCACATTATTTTACTTTAAGTAGACATCCAACATTCGCCTATTAAGTTAACTTATTAGATTCCAGTAATCCAGTACACAGTTGTTAATTGCTAATAAAAAACATAATCACTAGCTAAAGGTATTTTAAAAATAAAAATAGTTTTATTTCTATTTGATTTTTGCTTATTTCAATATAAATATTTTTTAAATGCGAAAGATAAAATATAATTAATATAAGGTATATTCATTTAACATATTTTAACTATAACCATTCAAATTTTAGTCTGTCGATAACTTTTAATAGATACACGTGTTTACATTTTTACATCATTAATTTGTATATGACGATAATAATGTCCAAATACCTAATCATCGCCAACACCATTTAAATTCTTATTGAATTCTTCTTAGTAATTTCAAATAATTGTAATTGATATTAAGTAGATTAAATCTAATCATATTAAGTAATAGGTACATATTATGAACGTATTTTAAATTGTATAGTAAAATTTTGAATTGCGATTAATTTGAGTTATAGAGTTATACAATGAGGCAAACAAATATTATCACGGTGTACTAAAACGATTAAAATGGTTTTAAAAAGAAATAGATTAAAATGTTTTTCTACTTTACTTTTACAATGTATTATCGGTAAGTAGTGTATAATCACGCGGAAAACCAATCAGAATCACGTTTCGTTCGTAATAATTCGTATTTATACGTCTAAGCTGTTCATAAACATATACCTACTTTTATCTATTCGGTGAAAAGTTATTTTGCTAATACTTTTATCACATGTCATGAAATGTCTATACTTGATATTATGACTGTATATTAAAGTAGAGTAAAATTGGTCTTGCTGTAGGCTTATAAAAATTTAAAATTTGTTTTTACTTTTTAATCATTTATTTAAAATAATATGCCAATCGGAGAAGTGGACATGAGATAATTTAAGTATATATTTATGACTATTAAAATTGAAACTTGTACACTATTAATCAGATGTTTTTTGGAATAATTTGTACTTGAATGCATTATTATTTTTACGCGTTGAAATAAGTCCAATTAAATATAATATTAATACTATACTATTTAGTAATTAGTTTGTATTAATTATTGAAGTTATCTGGCATAAAATATATTATCGTATTAAAGGTACAGAGTATTTTATCGAACCATTGGGTAGTTTGGTAAGTTATTGGATAGCGAGTCGCATGCGCTATTATTTTCACCAGCTATATCATTATTATTGGTCACTAACGACTAACTTTGCATTCATATAATACTTGAATATACACTATACCTATACGGCTATACTAATGTAATACATACGTATATTATTGGTATTATATTATATTTATATTTATTTTTTTCTCCACAAAACAAATGTCTGTAGTTTACAGAAATTTCCTATTTTCAATTAAATAAAAAAAAAAAATGACGAACACAATATAATAATAATAATTGTTTAATTCTTTATATTACCCCCTCCTATTCTAACGCGAAAATAGTGCATACACTACTATTGATTTATTAAATAGGTACACCAGTTTCTAATATTAATGAGATACTTGTTCCGTATTTTTGTATTTAACGCTGTTTTTGTTATTTTCTATAATCAGTTATTATAATATTTTATAAATTATTATTTCATTATTGAAATGATGTTACAAAGAATTAATTAAAAATGGTAAGAAAAAAACATCAACTTATCAGACATCAATAAATTATAATGTATATTAGATATTTTATATCATATTATTATATTATATTTATCTATATTAAATTAAAATATACATAGATCATCAATCATCATACTATAAAAAATAACAAATGTTTAATAAATTGTTTAAAAATATATGAAGATTTTTTTACGAAAATATTTTTGTAGTTAAATAATATTTTTATGTGAAATGTATTGTACATTTTTTATGTACCACATAGTAATAAAAAACGTACATTATTTAATCAATGGCACTATAGCCTAGCCATTAGCCAATATATAACAAATAAATGATATATAATAATAAATTGCAATATCGAACTATATAAGTATATAAGTAATAAGTATATTATATTATGTACACATCGATTCAAATCTGAATTCATTCGATGTTTTCAGACTTTAAATAAAGTAATAAATCTATTGATTTTACAATGATGTATTTTTATTTTTTATTTTTTTTGTTATGTTCAAAAAAAATGCTTCGATTTTCAATTTCTCCTTAATTTTTTTAAGGCTGGTTTTAGATGA